ACCCCCATCCACTCCTCCTCTTTTTCTATTCAGAAAAGGGCAAGCCTCCCATGGGTATCTACAAAGCATGGCATATCAAGTTGAGGTAAGACTAAGCACCTTGAAGGACCCATTTTTAAAAATTATTACTAGTATACATGTATTTTTTTCTCTTCACATAAATGTTTAAAAGGTTGCCATCAACTTGAAAACCCCTAAATTGGAAAAGTTTTACTTGAGGACCTCAGATCGAGAATTACAAGGAGTTTCAGGTTTTCTTCACTGTGAGAAGAGTTTCTTTGCTCATCTTTGAAGATTACTGACACCCAATCAGCTCTGTCTGCTGGCTCCCTTTCCTGGTGCATATTCTCCATGGGACTTCATGTTGCTTTGTCTTTATGCTGATTCTCCTTAATATCAGAATAACAGAAATACTGGAAAAATCTGTTGATTTTGGTCAAAGATTGGTCGAAATACTGTCCCCTATGATGCAAGCACTGTAAATGGAGTGGTGTCTAGATGCTGAGAATACTGCTATATCTCTGAACACCTTAGCGTACAGTAGGCCCCCAGAAACAGCACACATATTAGGCACGCAGAAACATCTGAGGACATACAGTAAGTGCTCAGTAAATAGCAAACTAGTCCATTAACTTGAAATTCAACTCTGCTCATGTTCTTGGAACACAGACAGAACAAAGCCTGATTCTTGGCCCAAATATCACAGGAAAGACCCCAGCCCAATTTCTGGTGGTCCTGGTTTTCTTCTGAGTGCTCAGGAGTGGAACCTTTATTGATATTTCTCTAAGCATTCTTATTTTTCAAGCTCATTTCAGAATGGTTCTTAAACAGAGTAGGGCTTTTCTAGCCCCAAATACCAAATCCATCCATATACTCACTAACCACCACTACATAGTTGCAAAGGCCTAAGCACCACAGGGTCAGGTTAATCACAGCAATTTCTCGATGCCAATTGTTCTATATTATTTACTTTCTTGTTTCTGTGGTCAAAACAACAACAACAAATCTCTGGCAAAGGTAACTTAAGTGAGAAAGGGTTTGTTTGGGCTCACAGATGCAGAGGTATACAGTCCATCAAAGCAGGCAAGACACAGCAGCATGGAGGAAATGCATGGTGACAGGAGGCTGAGGCCGGCTGCTCACGCTGTGTCCATTTCAGGAAGTAGAGGGTGAACAAAAAGTGGGCTTGGGCTTTAAAGCCTCAAAGCCAGCCCCCAGTGACCATTTCCTCCAGGGAGGTGCCACTTCTTAAAGATCCCTCAGCCTCCACAAACAGTGCCACCAACTGAGGACCAAAGTGTTCAACTCTAAGAACCTTGGATAGACACTTAAGCATTCAAACTACAGCAGCGAATGGCAGCAGCAACTGTGAGGCAACTTTTTGAAGCAAAACGTGTTCTAAAATAAGATAGAAGTGATGACTGGACATTCTGTCAATATCCTAACACCACTGCTTGTATGTATACTTTACATGGATTTTGTAGGCTGTGAATATAGCCTGGTATTCCGAATATGAGAGGCTGCTGTTGACTTTTGAGTACTGGTGTCGTCTTCTGTGACATAGTGCTCATTACACAGCCTCATGCAAAGAGCAGGCAAAGTACTAAAGGAAACATTGCTTGATGCGAAACTCCTGGCGAGGTAATGGACACAGTAAAAACACTGGGTGATAGATGGTGAGCATTGTTGGAGTTTGCTTAACAAGTCACCTCTGCTTTGCCTGTCCTGAACTGTGGCTTCACTGTTTGCTTTTAGACAAAATGGGCTGGAATAAGCTGCAGGGATGACCCTCTGTCTGCTTTGCAAGTACTCTAGTGAGATCACACACTTAGGGATCTGATATCTGTTATTTATTTTTTAACTAATATAACTGAGACCTTGTTCAAGATGTGCTTATGAAAAATTACCCTTTTAATGGTGGAGCATTTAATGAGAAACTGGATTTTCTACTGCATAAGTGCCCTTCATACAAATTAGCTTGGCCCTGGGTCCTGATCTAAATTGGGCTCCCTACTTTCCTCTAAATGGCCCAATATTTTCTTATTAATCCCTGCCCTTTCCACCTGCCCTGGCTCTGCCTCCTCATGTGAATCTCTCCTCAGCAGCAGGCTCTGCCCCGACACATGTTTCTTCAGGCTCTTTGTATCTGACCAAGGGCAGGTTTTGGACATGCCTAGTTTTCTGGAAACCGTATATTCCATTTCAACCTCCCTCCATGTCCCAGTGGAGTTTTTTTCAGTGCCAGTGTGTTTATATTTAGGAAGAGTGGATGTGGGCCAGGTGAGTTCTGGTACAAGGTAAAATTGGGGATTCAAAGGGAAGTTGGATAGATGGAAAGCAATTAATCATAGTTGCTAAAAGGAACAGGCTTGGAACACAGTATGTGCCAATCCAGATCTGGGCTTTGGCGTTGGGCAAATGTGTGCAGGTCCTTCTAGGTGAGTATGGGTGGGTTTGTTGCCCTCTCAGATCTTCCCTTCCAGTGTGGGTCTGGATAAGGATGCCTGCCTTATTCAGGGGCAGTCAGGTGGGATGTGAAGCATGCTCCTAGTGGTTCCTGCTATCACCGTTGCAGTTGCACTTTGAGACAGTCTGGGTAGTGAAGGGAGTGTTGTTGGTTGTCCAGAACAGTTTGGTGGGTTGATTATATGAGATAGGGTATAATCTTCCCAAGAAGTCTTAGACCAAGATCTAGTCTGCTGTCACCAAACTTAGCATAGCAGACAGGAGAGAAAGCCTGTGATTCATAGGCCAACTTGCTTAGATATATGTCCAAAAAGAGATAAAGTGATAGATAATGTCAGCTCCAGCCTCTACCATCTCTCCCCATTGAACTCTGGTGTTTAATTTTTATATTCTTTTTATATATTTTATATTACCGATATAATATATGTCATATGAATATTTCTATTTATATGCTTGTATATTATAAAATATTTTGTATTTCTTCATATTTATTTATTTTTATATTCCTGTGTGTCTTTAAATTGTTTGCTTTCAGGACAATTTTATTAAATATTGATGGGGGATGTTCTTCTGTATATATATTTCTCTTATTGGTTGATGAAAAAAACACTGTTTGGCCAATAGGGGCAGAAGATAGGCAGGAGTAGGAGACAAGGAGAATTCTGGAAAAGGTAGGCACAGAGAGCCCACCAGAAAGGGACGCCATGTAGCAGGGGAAGAAGTAACAGAACCAGACCCTTCTCCAGTAAGATAAGTCAGAGTTAGCCAATAAGAAGCCCTTGCCATCAGCAAACAGTTTAATAATTAATGTATGTCTCTTGGTGTTTATTTTGGGGCTGAGAAGGGCAGTGGGACCTAGTGGGACAAGAAAACTCCAGAAAAAAAAAAAACTATTGATAGATTGGGAGTCATAGAATTCAGTGATAAAATGACTACTAAAAGTTGGAAACCAGATGTTTAGACTTGTCCCTACAGCAGCCATCTCTTCTTCTCCCCCACATGTTATCTCTAAGTAGTGCTTTTATTGGTCTGCTCACAGAAGGACAGTTACTATTTACAGAAAGATTACTGTGAAGATGAACACATGCTTCACTCATACTGTCTTCTTTAAATTACTATTGGCACTGTAAGACAGTGGCCACTTTACTGGCCTTCCATAGATAGAAAATGAAGTTTAGTTGATGCATTGTGACAACCTTTTTAGACACCTGCCATAATGCACTGTACATTTTTATTTACAGTTACATACACACACACACACACACACACACACACACACACACACACCCAAAAAAAAAAAAAAAAAAAAAAAACAAACAACTTGAGTTTCTAGGTGTATAGATTGTTTCTTCTTTATTCTTTATTTGTTGCCAACAAGTAATGGTATTTGGCTCAGAAGAGATGATCAGTAACGGAAGGATGAGTAAGATACAGGGGTGAAAGTCAGAATTCATAAAGTGGGAAGTACTATTCTGTGCTTAGTTATTGTTGGGTTCTTCAGAACATTGTTCATCTCATACTATAGATGGAGGGAAGTGGCCTGATTTATCCCTGAAGTCCTCAGCTCAAGTTTTATGGTGTGAGGGGAATTGTGGGAGAGAATAATCAGGAATTAGAGCCAGTGGTGAGTAGAGGCCTGGGAGAACCCAGATTTCTGGAACTCCAGGTCCAGTGTCCAGATACCTGTCTAGGAAAAGTGTGGCAAGTTTTAAAATTGCTATGTTGTCCTCGAATTTCTGACTCTGTGAATAAGCTACTTAATTTTATGTCTATCTCCCATTGTAATATGACAATGGTTTGGCTTTTGAAGAATGGGTATAGAGTTTATAATAAATATCTCTGCATCCATGTCTTTATGTGGCATGCTTGAATTCCTGATTGATGTATGTAGCAAAATATCATGTTAATAGTTATTAAGAGAGCCTGTTGCAAGGTACAGTCACTCAATAATACCAAATACTGTGGCAGCCTACTTTCTCTGCATATCTGAGTTACCAGAAGCAATCTCATAAAGCCATTTTTTTTATAATTGTTCAGTGTCATTACATGATGCAAAGAATTTATCCTGGACTTTTACAGTAAGGCAGTTCATGGAATCTGGTATACAGAGGATCTTGCATCCTGGCCAAAGCATCACTAAGAGTTATCAATACTGGAAACTTGGTGCTGATGCTAGTCAAGCAAGACTTTTGGACATAAACCCTCAGTTGATGATGACTGTTGGTTCAGTACCTATCAAGTATCAAAAACAAATTAGATGTGTTACTTGTATTATCTGATTTTGCTTATTGCTTCATTGGGGAGATTATTTGTAAGGTTTCTTTGTCTTTTCAAAAGGCTAAGGCTCAAAGAAGAGGTAAACTACCTCAGTATTTAAATGTGTAGAGCCAGAGTTTGCAGCTAAAGATCTGATTTTGATTTGACTTTCCTAGCATGTAGGTGTAAGCGGGAAGTAGATCTCTTGAATGGTAAGTTTTCAAAGCCAGCAGAGCTTCAGCACGCTTGTTTCTGAATCTATTTTTCTTTGTTTCCAGGTCAGGATCGCAGTGAAGCCACTTTGATAAAGAGGTTTAAAGGTGAAGGGGTCCGGTACAAAGCCAAACTGATTGGGATTGATGAAGTTTCTGCAGCTCGGGGAGACAAGTTATGTCAAGATTCCATGATGAAGCTCAAGGTGCTGTGCTAGCGTTTCTTTATGATTAGCTCTGGTTTAACAGGAGTGGGGGAAAGAATCAATCACCAGTACTGTGCTTGAGAGATTGGCTCCTGGCTCGAATAACCATATTTTCTCTCCAGGAAGAAACTCCAGTGGCTTAGAAACACTGACTAGACACTTACTTTACGGAGGTGGCTACTCAGGCCTTGTTCATGTTCATTGAGTGAATCTTAGTTTCTTCTGGGTTAATGTCCTTGTAAATCCTCTGCAAAATTAAAACCACAAGAATGATCAAATTCTGCAGTTTCTCACATATTTTGAATTTTTGCTACTTTGTTATTTTTTTTTTTGAAAATGTTTCCTCGCTTGTCTTCTGGTGACAGATGTGAAGGTGCAAAGCTGGTTGTATCTATTCTTGTAATAATGGGAATCACCCCAAACATTTCCTCACAAAGGAAAGGCAGCCTCACTGAAGCGATGTGCATTACACATGGCAAAGACAGCTCTGCATGGAGAACCCAAGAAGTAAGTTAGAAAACCACTTAAACAGAACCAGCAATCAGTGCACTCTTTTTCCCAGCAGCCTTAAAGACACACAAATAAGGAGATCTTTCCCCCAGATGTTGATCCACATAGCCTGTGAACTTTTTAAAATGTGGTATAAAATATTAGAAATGCCCAGGATCTAACAAGGGTCCTGTTTCATGCATTTAACACATGCAAAACTTACTTTTCTCAGTACAAACTCTAATTATAAAGTACTTTGAACATACTGAAAAATATCAGAGGTAAGCTAAAATCATCCAAAATCCCACAAAAGTAAATGAGAGTTGACACTTTTTGTGTTTGATCTTCAGTTGTTTTACTTCTATAACGTCAGCAAATAGATGATAGTTTATATAGTTTCATAATCTGGTTCTGCTTTATCTCATCTAATAATATATATAGGTAAGCTCTTTTTTGTCATATCTTCAAACAGTCTATAAGACACTGTTAGGTCAGTGGAATATTTTGAAGTATAAGAAAAGGCAAAGTGCCCAAAAGTATTTAAATGACAGAAGATTGTTAATTATTGTCTGCATCATCTTTTTCTTCCATGCTTATTAGTCACAGATATTTCTTGTCCATGCTATACAGTGTTTTGTAGCACTTTAACATGTCTGGCAGATGTTGTCTCCCAGGGGCATGGCTTCAAATAACATGATTTTTTTTAACTACTTAATTTTCTATGTTCTGCATTCTTGCTTTTGCTATTTAAAATGTTATATAAACAAACTTTTTAAAAATCAGTGAGTACTTAACCTAAGATATATTAGAAAAGGGTATCAAAAACAATGAAATCAGATTTCACACTTTCACCTTGGAAGAGGTTAGTGAATTTTTTTTTCAGATAATGAAGCCGTGTTATGAGATTTCAGGGCAGCTCAATAATGAGCCCTCTTTCTCTTCTAAATTCCAACCTGAATGATGAATAGGGAGGCAGTCAGGCAAGAAGATTCCCACGGCCTGCTTTGTGACTGATGAATGCTGGCCTAGAGGATGTGACTGAGAAACAGGGCCCCGGGCAGAACCTTAAACAGCATAGGCTATGACGTTTGGCTTGTAGGAGAATTCTCTGTTCTCCCACTGTTGTCTGACTCCCAACCCAAGTAGAGCCCAGGCTCGTACATATATGAAATTAGAATGCAGCCTGCCTCCTAGGACACAGCAGTACCCCAGAGAGACTGAGCCTCATGTGTCCCTGTCTCACAGAGCCAGGGACTCCCACCATCCCAACTGAACTATGGTCACAAATAGACTTAAAAGTCCAGAGCTTGATTCTTCCTGCTGTAATTGAAGTCTGGCAAATCAATGGAGATTTGCACCAGACAATGCTTCATTTAAAGACAGCAAAAATGCCACTCCTTAATCTTCCATGTGCACAGACCTAGAAGTCACCCAGAGCATCCTGTCTGTGGAGGAAAGAGGAGTTCTGCATCCCCTTTCTCCAGCATCCAGGAGAAGCTGTTTATCATGTACCAGTGACTGAGAGCGTTACTGGCCTTCATAGAAGCATGTGAAGCAGCAGGTGCTCTGCTCCTAGGAGTTTATCCTTGGAATTAACACTGAGCCAAGCTAGCTGGACCAGATATAGCTGTGGATGCCAATGTGCTTGTGTGTGTGTGTGTGTGTGTGTGTGTGTGTGTGTGTGTGTGTGTGTGTGTGTGTGTGTGTTACTTGCAGTGAAACACTCCATCTTCCCTTATAATCATGAGACCCCAAGGCCCAGGGAGTTTGTCCTGCTATAACACGCTCCTATCAAATGTACTGAACACATCGAGGGGTTCTTCGTTTCCAGATGATTGTGTTTCATTCTTTGCAGCCTGCTGAGAAGAGTGTTGACATTTCAGCCCCCAGTGGTTTTTCTGTAAGAAGCACAGAAACATAAATGATCGATTCTGCATTTGGCCACCTGCCCAGGAAAGAAACAGAGAACTACAAAATTCCGTTTAGCTTTGAAAAAAGGCCCACTTGCTCCTATTAGAACATATGAGAACTGGGAGGAAAATGAAAGAAAAGATTCCCTTTGTTAGACTGAAGCTGATGCATCACCCCTTAGAGAATTTTCTCCTGTGCTGTGGAGGTTCTAGACAGTCTCTCTGTGTGTGAATCTGGGGGGCCCACTCTCTACCCACTGCCAGACCATCACTGCATTTCAACTTACAATCACATACATCAGCTTCGGATCTTACAAGCTAGAGAGTGGTTTCTCTGTTTTGTAACTATAAAATCTAGGTTCAGAGAAGTTAAAGTATTTCTTCCACATTCTTTCCGAGAACTCAAAACTAGAGCTCCAGAAGTCCAGTGGTTAACAGGTTTAGCACTTGATTGTATCATGTTCTGTTTTGGGGACTAACTTATCTTTTCTCAGATTGATTGTATTCTTCTACCTCTAAGGTCTTATGCATCTCTGACTTAAAGAAGTCAACTTTCAGAATCCTTGTGTAGAAGAGTGATAATTGAAACTATGGACCAGATGAGTCCCAAAGAGAGAGCCTGGAGAACCATAAGTGTATGAGAAACAGAACTTATACTTGGAGAAATAGAGCTCTTGTGAGGTCCTTTGACAGAACCAGGAGTATAATCAGATATTGTAAAGAGGAGATGATTTCCAATACCTGAAGTAAAGATAATCACACAATTTCATAAGCAGGGCCCCTCCTCTTACCTCTGGTTGTACCGACGGTTCTACACCATCAGTTACTCTTCAAAAGAACTCTGGGAGTATCATATTCTGAGAACAACACAAAATGTGATGGCCTCCTATAGCTGTGAAGTCAATATTATTTCAGATTTATTTGTCAATATTATTTCAATATTATTTGTCTATGCCCAAAACCCAGTGCAGCTACTACTGTGAGCTGACCCTCATCTTAAACAGTGATACAGGAATGGATACTTTGAGATGCCTAGTGCTGAGTGAATAGCAGCCTGGCACATGTGGAAATCTCTTGAAATGACCTTACCTGCCAAGTGTACCCTAGTCCAAAGTCCATGTTCATCTGTAACTGCCACCACAAAGTCTAACTTTAAAAAGTAAATGGTTTTACTAACTTGAGTCACATAACCCTGTAGTGTATAGTACACTAATTTAATAGATACCTGATGAGCACCTGCTGCCTGCACCAGTAGGGGCAGGGGGAATGTCCTAAGCCCTAGGGCTAGATCAGAGAACAAAGTCACATCTCTGCCTTCTTTGAGGTTTACCTTCTTGTGGGTTCATACACACACACACACACACACACACACACACACATATGGGCAGATGGGAAACAATGAATGTAATATGTGTTTTACCACAAAATACAAGAATGACAAGGGAAGAATAATGGAGAATATAATTGTTTTGAGGAACTATTACAAATACCATGCATAAATTATTATGATCATGTTTTGCCAAGAAAGGAAGGGAAAGAAGGAGATATGGTCATGTCTAAAATGTCTTTGCTTCTTTCTGATATCTAGAATTCATTCATGCAAAAATGAAAGCAAGCAAAACAAATAAACAAGAACAAAAAGGACTTAAGAGTAAATGAAAATTGGTAGTAAATGATACATATTTTAAATTCTGTTTCATATTCACATTAAAGCAAAACAGATTGCACAGAATGGACTCATTGTCCTATAGCAGAAAACATCAAAGTCTTGTGGTATCCACTGAAAAATAAGTCATACAAACAGTGCAAAACTATTTTCTGTTAGTAAGAGTTTTATGAACTCCATCTAAATAAAATGAATAAAAAAGACTGACATAGTCTGACAAAAAATAAGCCTGAAGTATAAAAATATTATCTTTGAGACTATGCTGAGTAACTTACTTGATTTAAAAGATTAAATCTACATTCAATATAAAAACCCACCACAAATGCTGTTTCCATCTTATGTAGTCTATTCCAGTTCTGAGCCATGTATTACAGCACAAAGGCATTCCCTATATTCGATGGCTAGTTACATATTTACTCCATGATAGACCAGCCGAGACCACTATTACCCTAAAACATAAAGCAGACGTGGGGATATGCTGTAGAGACCCATGGAAGGGCAAAGGAAGGGTGTGTGTGATTGGTGGTTCTAGCTAATGCTGTCTGACATGCCTTTGGACCAGAGGGAATTTTCAAATGAAAACACTAAAGTAAAAGCCATGTTCTTCCTTTCAACAGGGTGTTGTTGCTGGCGCTCGTTCCAAAGGAGAACACAAACAGAAAATCTTTTTAACCATCTCCTTTGGAGGAATCAAAATCTTTGATGAGAAGACAGGGGTAAGTGAAAGAGTCACTCGGCAATATGAAATTGAATCCATTGACAGATGTGCCCCTAAAAGGCTCCTTTTGCTGGGCAGGAATATCAAACAAGCATAAAAACACATAAAGCAACTGACAAACTTGATCAACTATGATCATCCATCAAAACAAGTCTCTTGCATGACTTGGCCACAGCATTACTGCACTGTGCTTCTTACACTGTAATTGTGGTCTAAGTGTCACACTACCCAAATCATCTAATGGGAGATCAATGTGCTCCGAAGAGTGGTGGTCACGTGGCAGTTTGCATTAAATTTTTGTGTGCATTGGTGTCTTCAGTGACATGCACTTGAAGGAGACATATGTTGGTTTTGGACTTGGTCAAATCCCAGACTCCAGTTTAGCCTGTCACACCTTGAAGTTGCTGTTATGGAATGAATAAATACAGTTCTTAATCTGAAAAGAAAAAAAGGAGAGAAAGAAAAGATAGAAAGAAACTAACACTCTCTAGCCAGGAACAGTGAGGACTAGCATGTTTATTGAACACACCTAAGAAAGGGGTTTGTGTTATCAACCTCACAGGTGCACCAAACTCCCAGACTCATCCCCAGAAGTCACACAACACTGTTGGTCTTGGTCATTTAGGGTAAGGAAAAACAGATAAGCATTCTGTGACCTCATGCCTGAGAAAACCAGAATTTTTTTTCCCTTTTATTCACTCTGTGTTTCACAGCTTATAAAACACATCCATATGCATCACCTCCTTTGAACTTTGCAAGGAAAATGCACCAGGCAGTTTATAAACAATACTCCAACCAGCTTTATTGTTTGACCTTACTTGTGTTGTGTTATTGTATCTTCCTTGTTTGGACTAGTAACACACAGGTGAAAAGATGATAATTTATAAGTTAAAATGTATTTTCTTGGAGAAAAATACTATAGGGAAATTACTTCCAAAATAAGAGAAGTAGGATAGATATTGGTCATAAACATATCCATAGCCACCAGAGGATGGGAGTGACCCAAATAGCCAATGAATAAACAAAATGTAGTTGTGTATACAGTGAAACGCTAGGGTCTTAAACATGCTAGGAAAGTCTTCAAGTGCTGCAATCTGGATGGATCTGGAAGAAAACATACTGAATGGAATAAGCTAGGCACAAAATGACAAACGCTGTGTGATTCCATCTGAATGAGGAATCTCAAATATTCAAACTCCTGGACTCAAAGATGTACTGATGACACCAAAGGCTTAGGGAGAATAAAGATGGGAATTGTGTTTTAATAGCATGGGAGACTGGTTTGAAAGTGATCTAGAAAGTAGGTGATAGTGATTAATGTGGGGGAAAAAGTATGTGAATGGGGGATGTAGAGACAGCTCGGCAGACTAGAGTACATACTGGTCTTTCAGAGACCAGAATTCAGGTCCTAGCACCCATGTCTTATGTGGGGCCTATAACTTCAGTTTCCAGGGATCTGACACCCTCTTCTGGCCCCCATAAGCACTGCACATACATACATACACACACACTCTCATTCTCTCTCTCTCTTTCTTTCTCTCTTTCTCTCTCTCTCTCTCTCTCTCT